AAAAATTTTGTCGGATATGGAAAGACTCACCCTGTATATCTATAATGTGTACCAAAAATAAAGTGTACAAAAAGTATACGATATTGCGTTCTTTCGAAGTACCCCCTATATATATGTATATATATATATATATACATTATATATATATATTTGGGTGAGGTGAATAAATACAAGAAGGGTAAAGTCGAGTATGTTTTTTTTATTTCATTTAACTTAGATACTTAATTATAATAGTCATCGTCGTCGTCGTTGCTTATGTTGTTCGGTCGCGCTATTCGATAAAGGAGATCGCGCAATTGTTTCAACAGGTCGTTTCGCGGGCAAATAATGTTGACAAACGTTCACAGATCGAACGTACCCGCCGTTAGTACAGTTTTCGTAAACTCGTTGAATTTGTAAAATTGTCGTCGAGTCGTGAAATACAGGGTCTGTTTTTTATTGCTGCACTCCTGAACTAGTGCACACTGGTGCAATGAGTTGGAATGAGAGGTAATCTATTTGTTTCATTTTAACTTATTGCACTAGTTCAGTAGTGCAGTAATAAAGAACAGGCCTACAGATTGCCGTCGAAGTATCTGAAGATTGACGTCACTCCGTTCGGTATGCCTGGAAAGATAGACTCAATGGTGTGAAATTTGCTAATGCTGTCGGAGCAGTCGTCTATCTCACCGACGAGATATCCGTCGTACACCACGTACGATTTTCCTTTGTTCGTATTTACGGCAGCGTTTATTTTCACATTCATACGAATTCCAAATTCTCGGAAAGTTCTCGGCCAAGTTGGCACTAGCGTGAAGTCGGGGTAGTTAACTTTATAAATTCTATCGTCGACGAATATAGAATCAGGTGATCCGATGGAGTTTGATACGCGGCAGAAATGTGCGTGAAGTTCGAATGAATGAATGGCATGTAGTTTGAAAGCAGCATAGGTTCGTTGTAGATCTTTCCATCTATATCAATCGCCCATATATGTTTTCCGTATGCTATGTACATTCGTCTTTCCAACAGCAATATCGCGTCAACGCGTTTCAAGAGTTGAGGTTGAGGTAGTAGTAACCCAGCCCATCTACTCCTGACCTGACGCATCCGTTTTCTTTGGTACAACTAGAAGCGGTGCGTTCCACTGGCTGGTGCTTGGTTGAAATATTTGCTGTTGCAACGTTTCTTTGATTTGACGATTTACTTCTGCCTTGTGCTTCTCGGGTAACCGATACGGTCTCACGTTCACACTCGGTAAGTTTGCTTGAGTAACGACCTCGTGTTCTACCTGAGTTGTGTGTGTCAGCCTGTCTCCATCTAGATGAAAGATATCCGCGTACTCAGCACAAGTGTGTATTAATGTTTCTTTCTCCTCTTTATTTAGGTGTTCGGTCCGCAGGAGTTTGGTTATGCGTTCTTCTCGCGGGAGGGAAAGTTCTCCGTCCCTTTTTGCAATAACGTTATTTATATATTCCGCGCTTTCCGCGTCGGTGAGGTGTGATTCACTATTTCGTCTATGATGACGATGGTAATTGTATCTCTATTTCCTTTTCGTTAGTGTTAACGATGCTTACCGGGCAGTTAAAGTTTTCTGGTTCTACTAAGCAATGTCCGATAACGATGTCTGGAGAAGTATCTTCTCTCTGCGTTATGCCTATTGAATTTCGGTTCGTAGTGACGAGCACTACTGTCTCGCTTCGTGGTTTGAGCGAGATGCGCTTATACGGGTACAATTTAAATGTTGTTTTCCCGATTTTTATTTGCTTCGTATTGTAGTCGCATATGGCTTCGTTCTTCCGAATAAAGTTCACTCCGAGGATCCCGTCGTAGCTTATCGGTACGTCGTCTTTTATCATGTAAACGGGGTGTTTGATTTCTCTGTCGGATAACTTGATTCTCAGGTACGCCTTCCCTATTGTAGTAATAGAGTGCCCAGTTA